GGCCCTTATGGAGCTCATAAACACATGAAGAGTGAAGGCCTGGGGCAGAACAGCCACACCAGCAAATACTCCCAGAAAGTAATTGTCTGTCTTCTTTCTCGGACAAAAGGATGTACAGAAAGTCTGTCATCTCATTCAAGTTGTCATCCTAGTCTAGTTGCCGTAGAAAGAAAATAGTGCTTCCTCTCTTACAGCCTTGCCTGCTGACTATTCTCAGAGCAGGCAGTAGGCATTGTAGAGTCAACAATAAATAAGAAAGTATAAAAGAAGCAGGAAGACAAATAAGACTTACTGTACGGGCAATGGTGGCAGGACCAGTGACATGCCACTGTTATCTACATGATAGAGATAAATGACAGCATGTCATATCTAGAATGGCTCACTGATAGGCTCAGTTAAGAAGGAAAATGTTTGTGAGACTGCTTTCATCAGACAGTTTTGAAGCACATGCATGGAGGGGACATTTGGTCTATGGGACCAGTCTAAAGCTAGTCTGAAGTAAAAACCCTGAACTATAGCATGGATGTATCTAACTGCCTTGTTTTACCGATCCATTGTGCTGCACTACTTAAATAATATAGACTATGCCTTTGTGTTTCAGAGTTGAAAAGTTCATGTGTTATGCTGGATTCTAACACTTTTTTCTGTCTTTATGGTTAAAGGTCTTATAAGGAGTGCAATGAGTAGGTGAGTGGCCTCCTTCCAAATAAGGATCAGTAATTCCCAGAGGCAGAGGAAAAACAGCAGGGTAGAAAGCGCTTCCTTTGAATTCTGTTTTTCATCTTCACTTCCAGCGGACCAGAACCAAGGAGTCATAGCCAGAAAGGGTCATAAATGTTATGATATCCATTCCGCAGCATCTCCTAGTTTGGACACTGTCTTCGGAATGGAAGTTGGAATGATCTACCTATTGGCTGTGCTGAATGGGAGAGAATTAAACACCAGGATTCAAATTAGCTTGCTAAGCTCTGGGATGTCTAAGCCAATAGCAATATAGCAATAGCAAACATGTGATGTGGTCTGTTACATACACAGCATAGTTAATGTGCACATGCACAGTAGTTCTGTTTTCCTAAATGCCAGACTTACTGTACTTTCACAAAAGAGTGTTACATATGAGTAATCCAGCACTTTTTGGAAGCACAGCTTTACTGCTCATATAACACTACTCACAGAGAGCATGTGCTCATAGCCTGCTCATACCCTCCTTCTTGTCTAGTTCTGCAAAGCACCCAGGAAAGAGGCTGGCTGCCTGCACGCCACTGCTACAAGATTCCCAAACTTGCTTTGTGCTGAGACCTCTTCATGCAGGAAGGAACAAGCTGCATAGTTTAAGAATAGCTCTGAAGCCAGGAGAAAGCTGCTTTCAGCTAACATCTTTCTTCAATCTGTCAAATGAGAGAATGTGTTCCCATTATGCGCTGGGAGAAGCAGCCATACACTGAGCATCCCACACAAAAACATTCCTTTTTCTTATCTAAGTTCTCAGATAAGCTAGGATAATTCTTATTTTCAAAACAATTTTATCTTTTGAGGAACCCCTTGAGAAGTCACTTGCACATAGGTTTTGGATGCCAAAATAACTTGACAATGCTCCTTCGGTTTCCTATGTCATGTCAGTGTGGCTAAATTGTTATGTCATTACTGCTATTATTTTCTTAGTCAATTAAGCATATCGTGCACACAATTCTTTTCTCAGTATTAGTTTTTTTTCTCAAGTCCTTGTACTTGCAACTTCAGTATCTTTTTAGACATTGTCTCTACCTCTCGACATGCCTGAACTTCCTTTTAATAAAATATATAAAATCCTTCTCCCAACATTTATTGATTTCATTCTTTTCACACAAAAAAAATCTTAAATGCAATATCAAACTCTGCTATGAAATTTGCTCTAAGACTGATGTCATGTATAAAATATTTCCATTTCAAGAATTAACTTTACAAATTATATTTCTACTGGAGTGTCTTAACCTTATCTAATAATAATAAGCCATAAAGTGCTCTAGTTAATATTAATGTGAAACTTGAATAACTTAAATTACATTAGTGAGAGATGAGAATTTGGGCTACTAGCTGTAATCCAACAAAAATAAAGGGTATTTTGAAAAGCAGAAATCTAACTGAAAGATTTCAACTCTACCTATCTCTCACAAACATACCAGTTTACCCTCTTATGAAATGTTCTCCTCAAATACAGAATTATCAGGGGAAAATATTTTGAGAATTCTAGGTAAACATATCTTTTTATACTGGTTAAACACTGCATAAGAAACTACAATGATTAATTCATCTACATTTGGACAGATATGTGGGTTTTTTTCCTATTTAGAATTACTTCAAGCTCCAGAAAGTGTTTCCTAAGGCTGCTGGTGTTTGAAATACAGAAATTCATCACTCTTTAGGAAGCCTGCAATTATGAGTAAAAAAAGATAGTCTTTCTTTTCAGCCACTAAATGCCTGTTGCATTTTCAGGCTGCAGAGATGAAAATTGATAAGAATTTTAAAAAGACCTTTAAAAAAAGAGTATTTTAAAACCTTGACAATATATTTGTTGCTTGATTTTTACCTTCTAAGCTTATTCAATACTGCCTGAGTATATGGCTCTAAGGAAGTGTTGTTTCATAGATGTTTTTTAAAGCACTTAACTTCCACCTCAAAATCTGTGTTTAAAAGTATCATAAGACAGGAAACGTTAATAGTAAAACTAAAAATAACATAAATCAGCAATGCTATTAAGTACTAAAACACAAAGAGTCATCAAGTTTTAAATTAAATGAGGAACAGAAAAGAGGTACATGTTCAAAACAAATGAACTAAAAGAATTTTTATCTAATGAGATTGAAATTAGTAGACTCCAATTATGGCTTGAGATCTTAAAATATTTAGATGGTATTGATATTTTGAATGCATGAAGACAGAGCTGAACTCATCAACAAACAGATATACAGAAATGTTTCATGGTTCGTTGTAAGATGTGAAAGTTTTTCAGATCTTCAGCAAGCTGTTGTGAATACAGCAAGGGTGGGTTACATTAAATAAAACTTATCATGATCCCAATTTTTGGGCCCCATAACTATTCTGACAGCCGTGCCTTTCAGAGAACTCAGTTTTGAATAGGAAATTACGTATTTTTACTATGTAAGCTCTCTTGCGTTGCTGAGTCATTTAAGTGAGGAAATGTGATGCACAGCTTCAGCTTTCAACTGTCTTTGTTTTGGTGTAACATTCTTGCATCAAAGACATGTTAAAAACGTGGTCCTTAGGGACTGTTTTTTCTAGCTCAATAGGGAAGATGCTAAAGACTGCCTCACCATTATTCAGCCCATGCTTCAAGCTGTTCTGTGTTACTTAATTATCTTTGGTTCAGATGTTGGTTCTTCCAAGTAACTGCATAACCATCTTGTTCTCAACTGGTTTCAACAGTATCTCTAGATCTTGATTCTGTCCTCCTTTCTCACATTAAGCACATTTTAAAAAGACCTTGGTTGGAGTTTTATGACAGAATCTGGTCTCAGCGTTAGTGAACTCTCCAAAAGAAACATTATTAACAATGTTTTCATAAACACCAGTTACTGAGTGCAGATAGCACTAAAATGATGATATATTAATAATCCATTCATCAGTTTTGAAAAATTTAAACAAGAATACAAGAAAGCTGATCTCTCTAAGAAGTATGAGAAACAGAAAATATACTTCATCAGCTAAGAGCAGGGATTAAGATTACAAAATTTTGTTTGAATGACAGCATTGCAAAAAATTCATAAATTCATAGTTAAACGTTAAATATCTATTGTAATTCATTAGATGTTACTTTTAGATGCCCTACTACTTGTACCATTTATGTCACTTGTCTAATAGGATATGTGGAATATTATTGTCTTTAATAGTCTTTGGTGTTTCAGTGCACAGACCTGTATTGCAGTATATATGGATTCACTAACACATGCAGATACAGAAATTGTTCACAACTTCTGATTTTTCCTGTACAAAAGAAACCCTTGTTCTCTTTTACAAGTGATCCATCCAGTAAGCCATGATGCATCAAAAAGCCTCCTCCAGCAATGTCAGCCTCATGCTCTAGACTGAAAAGTCCTTTAATAACTCTTCTCATTCTCCAGTATTATCAAACTGCAAGCAGACTATTCTCTATTTATCTCAATTATTTTACACATGCTGCTCCCAGAACACTCCATGCACTTTACACTAGGTTTTATTCCTTCCCTAGTATCTTACACTAAGTATCTGCATCACATGTGGCAGCCTTCTGAGCCATACAGGTGTCTACTTCTCATTCATTCTCCTTATACAGCTTTCCAAAATCAAACAGTAAGTTTTCATGCTAGGCCCACTATCTCTCGTTTGGAATGCTAGTAGAAGCCTCCACAGATATATTCTGGTATGCAAAATATAAAAACAATCCCTTTCTATCACTGATTTTAAAATCTATAGTTTAAATCAGCCAGCACCAAAGATGAGTAGAAAAATGACTGCAAGTTATTCTGTCCACAGCTGAGAAGCAAAATTCATGTACACAGCAGCAAATCAAATACGAAACCAGCAGGAAGTCTCTGCATCTTACATAAAAGGCAGGTATTAGGAAAACAATGTTTCATCCAAGGCTTTTAAGAATGCTTATAAACAGGGCAAAGTATTTCCAGGCCAATAGCAATGTAAAGACAAGCATCTGGGATTCATTGACAGCCTTATTTATGTACGTAATGACAGTCTATAAACACATTGATAAGCCAAAAATAATTAAAATAAATTCTAAACAGCCATCACTTCAAATTACAGATTTTACTCTCCTTTGCTTTGTCAACTACATCTGTACAAAGTGAGTCCAATGCAATGACACTATATTATGCCACATTTGCATATGCAAAAACCTTGTCTACAAAAACAGTACAGAGTTATGTTTATGTCCATTCAAAAAAGTGTTTTAAATAACATGAAAGCTGTAGGTGTTAGTTCCCTTGTTTGGATAATATAAGAAACTATACCTTTGGGAGAAGCTGGATTGCTTGGAGTATTCTCTGTCTGTGTCCAGAGTTAAGGATTCCTATTTCCAAGAGATCCTGGTCCTCCATTACATTGCTTCCCTAAAAGTGGAAAAAAAAGGTAGAATAAAAATGAAAAAATAGTAGATGCCTTCAATAGCCTGAAACAAGCCCTTCTGTTGCGTTTATAAGAGAACATTTTGCTTAACTTATAGTATCTGACAAGAATAATAAATTACTGATGATTGCATTCATTTTCACGATGACAAAATACAGCAGAAGGCACTGGAACTCATGGACAATTACTACACTGCTGGCAGCACTGCCAGTGGAGAAATTGTAGCTCTCACTTGAGCCAAATACCAGATGTGAACCGTCTTTCATTTGATTGAAACCAAAGCCATGACTAGAGGAATGTTCAGAAACTTCAGTTTTTCATTACCCTCTGTCCTGGTTTCAGTTGGGATACCGTTAATTTTCTTCCTAGTAGCAGGCACAGTGCTGTGTTTTGGATTTAGTTTGAGAATAACATTGATAACACACTGACATTTTAGTTGTTGCTAAGTACTGCTTATGCTAGTCAAGGACTTTTTCAGCTTCCCATGCTCTGCCAGGTGCACAAGAAACTGGAAGGGGGCACAGCCAGGATAGTTGATCCAAACTGACCAAAGGGCTATTCCATACCATATGACATCATGCTCAGTATAGAAACCAGGGAGAGTTGGCCAGGGGGCAGCAATTGCTGCTCGGGAACTGGCTGGGTATCGGTCTGTGGGGGGTGAGCAATTGCATTGTGCATCACTTGCTTTGTATATTATTATTATTATTGTTATTATTATTTTGCATTCCTTTTCTGTCTTATTAAACTGTCCTTATCTCAACCCATGAATATTACTTCTTTTTTTTTTTTATTCTCTCCCCCATCCCATTGGGAGCAGGGAGACAAAGGAAATGGCTGCGTGGTGTTTAGCTGCCTACTGGGTTAAACCACAACACCATCCTACCTCGCCCAGCTATAGATGATGTTCATTTTTCTCCAGACTTAGCACAGAATAAGATGAGCAGAGTAGATGAGGATAAAATTATTTAGTTCCTTGTTAGTAAAATGGTGAAGACACCAAAGAGGGGGAGTGGTATCAACAAACCCTATACAGTCCCCACCCCCATGAATTTAACTGTACCAGTGCAGCCCTAACTTTATCCACCACTGCGCTTATCTCCCTGATTGCAGGCAGGTCAAATAACTCCTAACATGCAAACAGCTGAAAAAGACCATCTGTTCAAACAATACACAAAATAAGTGCCCACCAAAGTCCATAAAATAAGACTCCACAAATCAAGCCTCTATTCTTAGAAGTTGCTACCAGCAGGAGAGGACTTACAGCTCCACAAACAGGATAATATGACTCCTAAGTTCAAGGAGCCTGACACCACCTAGATAGTAAGTTCAGCATTTGAAGGTTAAGGTAGTTGATTAGCTGGCAGTGACTACTGGGAATCACAGGAGGCACAACAGTAGCTGAAAAAGGCAATTGCAGACGGGGATCAAATCAAGATGGTTCAAAGTAGGCTGGCAGTCTCATGTTGCCTTTTTAGACCACCTCATTTCAGAAAAAAACTCCTTTTTTATTATTATTTTTTTTAAAAAGCTTCTAGATATTACAGTTGTGAACAAAACCTGCAAAAGCCAGGTGACCTGTCTGAACTCTTACCCCTCATGGAGTCTCGTGACACTAATTTACTAGAAGCAAGAATTCTTATTATTTGTACTCATTTAACATCATCATGAAAGTCTTTATGTGAGCAAATCCATGAAAAACTTCATCTCCACCTTTCCATTTGGCTTGCTGCTTCTGACTCAGTAGAGCTCATAAGCAGCAGCAAAATGAAAAGCTAATAGGCACATAACAGAACATGCTTAAATACTTTGCTGAATCAGGGCTTAATAATGGATATGAATTATTTCTGAATATCAAATCTCCTGTCCCACAGCAACATAGCTTTCTTTCAAAAAGCGCACTGGAATATGTAATACTTCACCGTGTTCAGCTGCTAAATCTTCACTCTTTTCAGATGGACTGATTAGTTTACAGATGCACTCTTGAGGACTCTCAAGTGCTACTCTGCAAAGTATCCTGCAAAATCTAGGGGAGGTCTTTTTAAGGCAATCGTGGAAACTTTGCAAAGCTATTACATTTAAAATTATATTTCAGAGTAAGTGGCATGATTTAAGACTACAAGTCTGCAAATCATATCCTGAAAGAATTTGTGTGCAGCATTCAGAACACGGGCAAGCAGAGACCTGCTCTAAAAGGAGAATCTGTGCAATCATGCCACTTTAAGTAGATCACATGGTGTAGGAGTGCATGCACCACAGGCTGTGCAAACAGTCATAGTGATGAGGTGGGGTTAATACCCCCTTCCTCTCCCTGGTAAATACATACAAAGTGTAATTTCCCCTTTCTTCCCTTCTCCTTTAGTAACCTAAAGGAGGCTGGAAACTTAAAGGAAGAACTGGGGAAAAAAACTCTGCATTTTGGGCTGGATTCTCCAGCTGCTGGAAATAGCTGGCATAAATGGATTTAAGCAAACTAGGCCAACTGAGGATCCAGTCCAAAACAAAGACTATACATTTTTGTTCATTTTAATAAATGCAGCTGTATTGTTTACATCTATTGCTTTAACTTCTTTTCACTGTTTTTCAGATTTCACCTTTCATCACTGCATGATGTTTACACACAATCATGGTATACTCATCACTGAGCTACTGCACACTGTTTACTGGTGTCAGTAACCTTGGCATCCAGCTTCAAACGTTGCAATGTTTAAAACCCAATTCAACTAACACTTAGGCACAGGAAAAATCCTGTCTATTTGCACAAAGTTGCTGCATAGCAGAGACAGCACTATTTTATTAATTCTTCACTATTGTTTTTTCCTTACATATTAGTTCATGTATTTTGTTTCTTTGCAGTTGGTATTATATATTTTTTAAAGTATGTCAAGGCTACAAAATCAAATATATAAAACCCAGGAAAACCTGGAATTCATGTTGCCTTCTTGTCCCCTGTCTGAGAAGGCAACAACCTAGTGTTTCAGCATGCTCAGGTTTTGGAACTTTTCCTGTGTGTTACCATCAGTGTCAGCAGTAGCAGACACTCATCCCTCGTGTAAAACAGACTTCATTGTCTCCTGCCATGGAGCTAAATCAGTTCTTCGTCTTTCCACAAGAGCAAACCAGGAAACTTTAGATGCTCAGTATATATCCACTATTGTTTAACATAGAGGAATAAACTGATAGTAGTAGAAAGCTGCTGTCTGCTTTGCAGACGTGCCTGTGAAGAGAAATAAATAGTACCCCTTATTCCTATCTCCCTGGTGTCTGCTCCCATTCTCCCTTTAATCCCAGTCCCTGATTGGTTTTTTACCTCATTCCTCTTCTTGAGCTCCTCCAGTCTCCTATGTTGAGAGTGAGGAAAACCTCACTTCCTTCTGCAGCAGATCAGAGACAAGAGGAGAAATTCTCTCCCTGCTCTTAGCTGCCATGCACGCATTTATTACAAGCTGGGCCAAATTTAACCTCAATTAACTTTACAGAGATGACATGGTAAATGTAATTAAAATGAATATTAATGCAAGAATGTCTTTTCACATTATTTCAGCCTTAAAAATAACTGAGCTATGTTAGCTGAAACATTCACCAAAAAGAAATTATTCTAGTAGACACCTAGAGAATTTGAGTCCAAAGATTTAACTTTGGTATGCTTATATACAGAACTCGTTCTTACAACAGGAAATATAGGACAGCAATCTCTACTGGGGTTATTATGCTTTTATTATGTAATAAAAACATAAGAGGCTTTGTGATACTTCAGTTTCTTAAGTCTACAGGAAAACTTAGTTGGAAGGAAAACTTACTTCTCGGAATTAAAGCAATAAGAATATACCAAAATTCCTTATACAAGGACAGATTCTGATCTCATTCACTTCAGCTTACACTGCTGAAGTTCCTGAAAGAAAGATTCTGGTTCTGAAGTTCCAGTTAGGAAGGAGTGTAGCTGCCCACCCCTGGGATTTGTGGTTTCTGCACAACTCTCAGGAATATAATCTTTCTCCCTCTAAGCATACAGAGGAAGCCAATCTCCTGAGTAAGAAGGCAGTAGTTTCACAGAACAGTTGGGCTCAAGAAGGAAGGAAAAACGATTCTGCATGTGGGAGACTGGAGGCATATGAAAAACAACACAATTTAAAAAACCCAGAAATTTTGCCAAAATCTGAGATCGTTCCTATAAATAAGTTCAGAACAAAATACATAATGGTACACTATGAGATAAGGATTTTACTGGCATTTATTTGGGTTGATCCACAGAAAATCACCTCTGGCACTCTCCACCTGAAGTTAATATAGCCTTTCCCAAAAATGCTGGGTTAGACCTTTATACCAGATTCCAAATGTATGTAAGTACAGATATACATATACAGAATCTTTAGAAAACAATTTAATCTGGAAGATGTCAGATTTATAGCAAAAAAATTACTCTATTAAAAAGAGCCTTAATACATTAAACAGCTCAAAGAACCTCTAAAATCTAATCAAAGCAAAAGATTCATAAACTTGTAGACAACTTCATTTACTATCAAAAGAGAACAACTTTCAAGATTCTTAAAAAAAAAAGAAAAGACCAATACACATTCTACATCTGGCGTTCACAAAAACACTTTGAAAATTTGTCCCTGAAGTTAATAAAATGTGGTGATTAGAACAACATATTAGGATGGCAGGCATGACTGTATGTTTCTCATCGCCTGCCTTTTGTACCTATGTTTTTAATCTTTCTTCATATATTTTCTGTGCATGACACCTATCGTGAAAAATTCCAATGTCTGGTTCTGTCATCTAAGTAAAATAAAAATGATACAAAAGCTGTAAAACAGCTGGAAGATATATCACTAGACTTATCTGAAAACTCAACCACTGAAGTTGGAAGCAAGGGGGTGTGGGCAACAAACCATCTGCTTATGCTTTTTGGTCTTCACCGTGGCTAATAGATTGGAAGCCTGATAAAGGTTGAAGAGAGGTTTCATAGATTTTCATTGCAATC